AAAGTGCTGGGATTACAGGCGTGAGCCACCGCGACTGGCCATTTATATTATTTTTTATTTATTTTTGAGATAGGGTGCCATCTCAGCTCACTACAACCTCCACTTCCTGGGCTCAAGTGATCATCCAGCCTCATCCTCCTGAGTAGCTGGCACTACAGGCCTGAGCCACCATGCCTGGCTAATATTTGTATTTTTTGTAGAGACAAGGTTTTGCCACGTTGCCCAGATGAGTCTCGAACTCCTGAGCTCAGAGTGATCTGCCTGCTTCACCTTCCGAAGAGCAGGGATTACAGATGTAGGCCACCACGCCAGGCTGAAATTTTAAGTATTTTAAAATTTTAATAGAATGTATGCTACATATCTGTGAGTCACATGCAATTGTAATATTTAAGAATTTTTTGCCTGCAAGACCAATTTTGAGGGCAATATCTGTCCCCTGCCTTGAGAATGTAAGATTTATCCCACTCATATTTACTCAGTAACTACTGTTCTAGGAATTGAGGCTACAGCATTTAAATGCCTGCCCTTGTGAAGCTGACAGTAGCCATCATACTTAATGAGCCCATTGCTGGGTATGGAAAGTTTGCCATCACTGTCTACTGCGTTGGTGAAGGGCCTGGACCCCTTTGGGGCCCCTTTCCTTCCCTCCAGAGTTTCCCTCTCAACTCCTCCCTTCTCTTCCCAGGAAAGCAATCAGAGGCCTACGCACTTGGCAGGGGCCTTCCTTGCCTTCGTCTTGGGTAACGTCTACTTCTGGCTGCAGCTCCTCCTGTGGAGGCTGAAGAACCTGCCCCAGCCCGGGGCTGCCTGGATTGGGCCACTCCGCCTGGGCCTCTGCAGCTTCTGCACCATCCTTATTGTAGCCAGTATCCTTCTTGTGTCGCTGGAAAGGGTTGGGGGTGGCTCTTCCTTGGAGTTGGTCTTCCTGCCTAGCTCTGTGTCACTGGGGACGTCTCTTCCTTTCTCTGGACCTCAGTCTTTGCATGGGATTATGGCTTTGTCGTCGAGAGTGCCGACTTTGAGGTCATGGTACCTAGGTTGGAATCCCCTGTCCTCCACATCCTAGCTGAGGGAAACTTCCTCTGGTTGTTATTTCTTGATGTCAATGGTTTCCTCATCACGAATGCAGACAATGACAGGGCTGACCCCAGGGCTGTGGAGTAGATAAGATGATGTGCCTGAGGTCCTTAGATCTGTGCCTGGGATACAGTGAGTGACCAGTAAGTACTGTAAGAATGACATACCAATAACAGTCCCTTCAGGGCACCCGCTCTGTGCCAGGAATCATGGTGGGTGTTTATAAGTGAAAACAGGTTCAGACAGGAAAGGTCTGTTGGCCGAGACGCATATGAAGTTCTGCAGTGGAGCTGGTGGTGGGCTGCAGGTGGCTTGTGCAGGCTCTGAAGGGCACTGCGTGCATTCTTCCCAACTCCAGGTCCTGTGATAGCATGTTAGTAGCTTGAAGTCGCCATCATGGGAGTATTTATACTGCTGTAATTGGCAAATGCCACCAACCAGAGCCAGTTGTTAAACATTTACTAGCACACCGTGTAATGGTTGACTCGGCCAGGTGCAGTGGCTCACACCTGTAATCCCAGCACTTTGGGAGGCCGAGGCGGGTGGATCATGAGGTCAAGAGATGGAGACCATCCTGGTCAACATGGTGAAACCCTGTCTCTACTAAAAATACAAATAATTAGCTGGGCTTGGTATTGCATGCCTGTAGTCCCAGCTACTTGGGAGGCTGAGGCAGGAGAATTACTTGAACCCGGGAGGTGGAGGTTGCGGTGAGCCAAGATCGTGCCATTGCACTCCAGCCTGGTGCCTGGTGATGGAGTGAGACCCTGTCTCAAAAATAATAATAATAATAATGGTTGACTCAATTCCAACTCACTTCTTAGCCATCCCTAGAACCCAGGAGCTTTCCACCAGCACAGCATGCTTCTAGTTGGGTCAAGTCATTCTCTGAGGCCTCAGTTTCCATATCTATAAAATGGATTTGCTTTTATCATAATAATGATGATGATGATGATTTTTGAGATGGATTCTCACTCTGTCACCCAGGCTGGAGTGCAGTGATGTGACCTTGGCTCACTGCAACCCCTGCCTCCTGGTTTCAAGCGATTCTTTGCCTCAGCCTCCTGAGTAGCTGGGATTACAGGCACGTACCACCATACCTGGCTAATTTTTATGTTTTTAGTAGAGATGGTGTTTCACTGTGTTGGCCAGGCTGGTCTCGATCTCTTAACCTCAAGTGATCTGCCTGCCTTGGCCTCCCAAAGTGCTGGGATTACAGGTGTGGGCCACTGCACCCGGCCCACAGTGATTAATTCTCATAGGTAGAGTGTAGAGGAGGGGCTGCAAACCCAGCCTTGTGGGGGAAGGCTTTCTCATTTGTGGAGAGGCCCAGAGCAGGCAGGCATCCAGAAGAGAATAGAGAGAAACCAGCTAAGGCCCTGTGTTGGTTGCATTAAGTGGATCCATTTATTGGGAATTTTCTCAGCAAAATGGAGATAGTGACATATTTCTTGGAGTGACAAAGTGTATCGTCACAAAATAGGTGAGAGGGCTGGCCCTTCAGGTTGGCCTTCAGCAACGTGGGGTATGAGACCATCAGGTCTGCTTGGCAGGGGCCGTGATGGTGTTAAGATCCAGACCTGGGTCTTCTAAACTAGCCCTGACAATCAGTTTGGCTGCAGGGCCCTTCTTTCTGTGGGACTCAGTTGTCTCTTGGGTGGAGTAGGTAGGGGAGGGAACCATAAAAGCAGCTGAGTGTGGTAAGGGCTGGAAGTCTACAAAGATGGGCCTGAGACTGGCTGGATTCTGAGCCTGGATTCTGAGCTTGGCCTGAGCCTTATGGGCTGGGAGGTTGAGGGCACACTGCAGGTACATGCATGGATCAGAAAGACCAGGCCTAGGGGAGGAATGAGGCTGCTGGCAGGGCCAGGGCTGAGATCTGTAAAATAAGGGATTAGAGGCTTGGGTGTCTGCCAGATGGTGATAGAGAGCCATAGGAAGCTTAGGGTTGGGTACCACGGCTCACACCTATAATCCTGGCACTTTGGGAGGCCGAGACGGGCAGATAACCTGAGGTCAGGAGTTTGAGACCAGCCTGGCCAACATGGTGAAACCCCGTCTCAACTAAAAATACAAAAATTAGCTGGGCATGGTGGCATGTGCCTGTAGTCCTAGCTGCTCGGGAGGTTGAGGCACGAGAATTGCTTGAACCTGGGAGGCAGAGGTTGCAGTGAGCTGACATCACGCCATTGCACTCCAGGATTGGTGACAGAGTGAGACTCCAGCTAAAAAACAAGAAAGCTTGTGAGCAGGGGGAGGAACAGGTTCAGACCCGGGTAAGCGATTTGTTTGGAGGCTCACACTTCTCTGCTGCTGTGAGACCCACAGGGCCAGGCATGGTGTCTGCCTCATTCACTGTCCACCCCCTGCCTGGCACAGGCGAAGCTTAGAAATCCTTGTAGGGTTTTTTCTTTTTCATAAGTGACAGTGTCACTCTGTCACCCAGGCTGGAATGAAGTGGTACAATCGTAGCTCACTGCAGCCTGGAATTCCAGGACCTAAGTAATCCTCTCATCTCAGCCTCCTGAGTAACTGGGACTACAGGCATGCACCATCATGCCAGGTGATTATTTTTTTTGAGACAGTTTTTTGTGTTTTTTTTTTAAAGATGGGGTTTCACCATGTTGGTTAGGCTGGTCTTGAACTCCCGACCTCAGGTGATCCGCCCACCTTGGCCTCCACAGTGCTTGGATTACAGGCGTGAGCCACCGCATCCGGCCTGAGACAGAGTTTCACTCTTGTTGCCCAGTCTGGAGTGCAATGGCTTGATCTCGGCTCACTGCAACCTCTACCTCCCAGGTTCAAGCCATTCTCCTGCCTCAGCCTCCCAAGTAGCTGGGATCACAGGCATGTGCCACCATGCCCAGCTAATTTTTCATATTTCTAGTAGAGATGGGGGTTTCTCCATGTTGGTCAGGCTGGTCTTGAACTCCCGACCTCAGGTGATCCGTCCACCTCAGCCTCCCAAAGTATTGGGATTACAGGCGTGAGCCACTGATTTATTTATTTTTTAATTTAATTTAATTTTTTTTTTTTTTTGAGACGGAGTTTCACTAATGTTACCCAGGCTG